CTGATTATGTCAAAATATTTGACCATATTCTATAGCTTCTGAACACGTCACTGTTTGGAGGCACTTTTTGATTAAAAAATACTACAACAACAAAAGCAGATGTGGGGGGGTAACTTTTATCGCAGCCACCGAGGTCACTTTTTTAAACAACTATAAACGCAACATATTGACAAAATAAGCTTGATGCCTCGACACTTTGAGGACCGTTTTGACACTGCCAGTCCTAGTACAACAATTTGAAGAAAAGGGAAAGTTAAAAAATATGAAAACAAAAATCGGATTTAAAAATAAATAAGAATGACATTAAAAAGGTATTCATGTGGTAATTATAACCAAATATAAATATATTATTTTTCTTGATTGTTTGGTTGAGAAAAAGTGCCTTGGGGAAGTACTGATGTCCAGTATGCACTACGGCACAAACACTGTGGAAAGAGATCTTAATATTTGTGGCCATGAGCCAAATGGAAATTAATTTAGTTAAAAAAAATAACTGAACGGAAAAAATTGGAGAACCAGAATTATAATGGCTTGGCAAAACATTCTTTAAACGTTTTCTTGTTATGTGTACCCACCAAACCAACCGAAACATAATCAAGGAACAGACCTTATGTGTGTAATGTACAAGTATTTACAGCATGTCCCTGGGATCGCTGCTGAATGTGCAACATCCTGCCCAAAAACATTTGAATAGAACCTAAAGAGGGCATTTTTAATGTGCTTATTATTCCTTTTAAATTCTCATCTGCCACCCCTCAAACCTTTTGGATATTTACTGTGAGTACTTATTTTCACATCAAATATACAATTGGAGCGAATGGTTCAAACTTTCACTTTCTCATGAGGAAATGTTTTTAGCTCAGGCAAGGTATACGACCCAAAGGACTGGCGCAACATAAGTAGCACCTAAAGTGGTTAAGTACAGCCTCATCTGTGTTTTTTAGCACGTCTGTTGTTTGTACATACACTGGGGGACAGGGGCTCCCTTGTTGCAGGAAGGGCTGCTGATTTTCTGGAGGTCTGCCGTTCGGAGTCACATGCAGATGTTCTCGAACCAACTGGAATTATCGTCCAGACCTCTTGCACACCACCTCCTGCTTCTGCGAGCCTAGAGGGGGACAAAACATGTTTTTAAAAAACAAATTTTCACTCTAGGAAAGCCAAGCAAAGTGATTTGCCCAGATAGTGCCTAACCCTGTAGTTAATATAAAGAGCAGAATATATAACTTTTATATTTTCTCAATCTAGAGCACATGGGCTCATTCTTAGATTTCACTTAAAAATTCTGCAGAATATGTTTCCAAACATTAAGGAATTGAATGGCACATCTTAGTCAGGCTGTTTTTTACCTCCTGCACAGGTGGCAGAACATTCAGACCAAGGGCAGGTGGTGCCATGAGAAGCCCACATCATTGTCCCCACTCCCAGTTCGCTGAATTGGGGGGAGGGGGGCGACGTTAAACTTGTAATGTATCCCGAGGTTCTGTTCTTGGAGAAGTGACCTGCAAGGCATTGTTTACACAACACAATTAGAATGGGTACAATAACTAGTATTCATGTATTGTCAAACCATCAGTGAGGATTCCGATGCAAACGTTAACTGCTTTAAAACTGCATGTTTAAATTACAGGTTCCTTATGAACACTCCACCCGAGGCTCTCCCTAGCACACACAGCAGTGGAGCACACAATCCTGGTAAATTGTTTTAACATTACAAACTAAATTTAAAAAGGTCTTCATATATACAGCAGGATATTAGGGTTAATTTGCTACAAATACCCAAAATTAATTACGTCAAGTGTTCATGTTTAGGTTGACGTTTTTTTGTCTTTGAAAGGCCATAACAAATTGAGTTAGCGTGAAAGAATAAAGTTAGTCATTATTCTCTGAGTTATAGAGTGTGTTTATTATTCATAAGGGACATCGAGTATTTAACATTAAAAGAAGGCTACACCTGATTTACCATACAAGCTATTTCCATCCAAGTCCCCACACACGCTAAAACATCCCGCCATCATATTTTTTTTTAAATGTCTTAAAATATGATATATAGAATATCTAAAATAATAATATAATCAACTAGACTGACTCAAGCTAGCCCTGCTAGGTTCCTCCCACAGTTGAAGGATACAGGACCTGTGGGAGGACATCCATACCTCACTCCAACAGCAGATAACACATCCCCTCTGCCAGAGATAACCTACGTCAGGGTGTCCAAACTTTTTAGACATAGGGCCGACAACACAGTAAGTATAATAACATCTTTGACTGGATCAGGCTGTTCTGATCTGTAAAAGGAGGAATGCTAAGTTCAATCAAATAGATTCACATTTTACAGACGATTACTAGCTTACGTACACACCCACGGCACAGTAAGCGCCATCTATGAGATTAAAAACAACTGTCAGTTTATACAAATAAAATTAACTCCGCTTAGTTCCAAAGGTTCCCGGCTGAGTTTTTTAACAACGAGGTAGAGCATGTGAATATATGGTAGGAGATGAAGCTGGATAACACTGTAAATTGCAGGATAACACTGTGAAATTTGTGCCAACACTGTGAAACAGTGCCTCTCCCACAGTGGCGGCACGTGCTGAGTTGGATAGCACTCTCGCCTCCGATCAAGAAGTCCTGGGGTTCGATCCGGTCGGAACCAGGGCCTATCTGTAGTGGAGATTGCATGTTCTCCCCGTGTCTGCGTAGGATTCCTCCGTGTCACTCTGGTTTCCCAACCACTAAAAATATGTCCAATAGTTCAGGCATGAGCCTTCCTGTACTGGCCCCCTCCCATCTCTGTGATGGAGTGAGAGACAATGCCATAATTAACATTGTAAACCGCTTGAGACTCAGATCTGCAGTGAAAAGGCGGTAAATTAAATAAAAACTTACTTACTTACTTACTTCACTTCTCATAGTTCTCGGGTGTTTGGCCGCACCTTTTTATTTTTCGCACCTGAAATCTTGCTTTTTAATAAGAAACAAGAAATGTCTCTCTTGGAATGAGGAAATAAAGCAAAAGTTCTTGAAATCAGACTGAATGGCTTTGTCTCATTGGGAAATATTGTTTTAAGAAAGTCAGAATGTGCACAAATTTAGATAAAACCACTTAATTTTTACCTCTTATTTTATTATTATTTTTTGCAGTGCGTGATCACACACTGTCTCATTGTCACCGTCTACTTTCTTCTATTTAAAGTTCACTATTGACCTTGACATTTTTTGTTCATCATAAACAAGAAAACTAAGAGATAGAAGATGAAAATAAGACTGAATCTAAATTTGAGCTCGTTCTGACTGCCTTAAAGGAGCAATATGTAAAAATCTGGCCAAAAGTGGTACTGCAACCTCTCCCACTCTCCCTAATTCAGGTTGCCAGATATGCAGTTCTGGCAACCCGGATCACAGACTTTCTGACAAAACGGTGGGAGACGGGACATCAAAATGAAAACAAGATTTAAGGGCTGTTACTTTAATTTTGAAATTAAAATACCTCTGAACTACTGTTATCAGTAATTTGAAAAGTATTTGAAAAGAGCAGGTTTATTAATGCCTTTTGACATATTAGGGCCATTTAATGATGACTTGACCTGAAAATCTTACATATTGCTACTTTAACACAAGATTTGGCAATAGGACAAAGCAAAATGACCTTGTTTTTAAAAGATACAAGGCATTTGATTTTGAAAAAAAAGCTATCTTATTTTAGTATATTTTTTAAATTGTTCCCAGAATCTCATTTCTAACGCGTAATATTCACAGTAAATGCAGTTGTGCCTAAATGAGTGGTGGTTTGTATTCTGTGTACCTATCTGTCTATCGCTCTGCACCTTCCCCTATCTCCTCAGACAGCACGGCTCTGTAATGAAGCAGGAACAAAAGTAATTTAGAGTTTGCAAGGCTTTGGAGAGTGGAGGGTTAGGGGGATTCGGTTCAGGGTGGACCTGGCCCCATCACTATTCATGAGAGTGGAGAGGAATGTTGAAATCCCACCGGAGCTGCACGTCTGACATACCTCTGCAAGCCTCCTGTCTTCTTTTCTTCTTTTCGTCTTGCTCTGCTGCAGTGATTTATTCATTTGCTATATCAAAGATTCCCCCGGTGACGAGCGGACGTGTGTGGGCCATGTGGCGTGCCCACGTGTTTGTGCAAGTGAGCATTAAGTGTAGCATTTATGGACTGGTGGGTGGATAAATGTGTTACTGCTGTTCAGCCATGAGAGAAAAGAGAGGGACTATAAATGGTAAACACTGGACTTGTGCTTTAATGAGACGGGGAGGGAGGTGGAGCAGCTACAGTAACATGCTAATAGCCCGCTACTGTTTAGAGAGATATCTGTACATTATTGTTGCACCTTTGTTGACTTGGCATCCATGTTGGCATACAGAGTAGGATATCAAAGAACCCGAGCCATCAGCAAGTCTCTCTCTCGCTCTGGTCTCTCTCTCAGGTCATTCTCTGGTCTCTCTCTGGTCTTTCTTTCCGGTCCCTGCTTTCTTTCTGGTCTCTCTCTGGTCTCTCTCTGGTCTCTCTCTCTACTGTCTCTCTTTGGTCCCTCTCTGTTCCCTCTCTCTGGTCTCTCTCTCTGGTCCCTCTCTTTGGTCTCTATCTCTGGTCTCTTTCTAGTCTCTGTATTTGGTCTGTCTCTGGTCTCTCTCTTCGGTCCCTCTCTGCTCTCTCACTCTGGTCTTTCTCTCGGCTGTCTCCTTCTAGTCTGTCTCTCTGGTCCCTCTCTCTGATCTCTCTCTCTCTGGTCTCGGTATTAGGTCTGTCTCTGGACTCTCTCTGGTCTCTCTCTCTGGCCAGTGAGGCTAATCTCAAGAAGACATTGCTGACTGTGGATTATTCCATAACCATGGATATGCATATGTAGTTTGTTGCACTATCTTATGGCAATACGAAAAGTTGTTTGAGCAGAATTAACGCTGTTCAAATAAATAAATACTATATAAAAATGTACCCTTTAGAGCTGCAGTTTGCTCACGCCTCTCCTCTCTCTGCAGACACGGCACAGTTGGCCGAGGTGATCCTGACCTCAGCTGTCATCAGTGAGGCTGAGGGTCCTCCTGCCCCGTGGGTGGAGTTCTGCTCCTGTCCTGTGGGCTTCATGGGGCAGTTCTGTGAGCAGTGTTCTAGAGGATTCACCAGGGAACACCCGGGAAGAGGACCTCTCTCAGCATGTGTCCCCTGCAACTGCCACCAGCACGGGACATGTCACCCAGAGACCGGTAAGACCCTCACTGTCAAATGCTTTTTTATCTAATACAAACATGAGATATGAATTTGTGTTCTGGTGCACACTGGGGTAGTCTTGCACAGTTTTTCCAATGTGGTTTTACTGCATATGGCAAATAAATTCTTGTATCTTGTATCTTGTTGTAATAATAATAATATTCATCATAATACATCAAACTAAATATGTTAGTGAAATGGATAAAAACAGAATGTTGGCAATAATAAAGGGACAGTTTCTGGTCTGTCATTAACTCAGATCAGACTGTGAACAGACAAACAGAATCAAAATGGGAACAATATCTAGGCCGAACAATCACCATTTCAGAATGGAAACCAATATGGAGGAATATAACCAGAATATCAAAATCAATAAAAATGAGGATGATACAATTCAGAATATTACATAGAGCTTGGGAGGTTGTGGTCAAAGGGGAACATTAAAATGATTGTCTGGAGTTTGTCAGAAAGAGAGAGAGAGAGGTGCTTGATTTGAAAAAAACGACACAAGCTCCCTCCCGCTTCCTTTCTGATTGGTCTACGCCTACGTTTCCGTAACACATTTAAATGTTAATCAGAGAACACATTATACATATACATTATTAATACACATGCACGGAGGTTTTCAAAATTATTTGTTAACGTGTTAGCAAAAAAACGATCGCGGCAAACCCGGAAAAAGCTATTATCATGAATTGCACATTATAGGACAGATCTGCAGAGGATCTGATTATGGATATATGTTCAGTATATAAATGATTATGGATATAGGTTCAGTATATAAATGATTATGGATATAGGTTCAGTATATAAATGATTGTGGATATAGGTTCAGTTTATAAATGATTATGGATATAGGTTCAGTATATGAATGATTATGGATATAGGTTCAGTATATAAATGATTATGGATATAGGTTCAGTATATAAATGATTATGGATATAGGTTCAGTATATAAATGATTATGGATATAGGTTCAGTATATAAATGATTATGGATATAGGGTCAGTATATAAATGATTATGGATATAGGTTCAGTATATAAATGATTATGGATATAGGGTCAGTATATAAATGATTATGGATATAGGTTCAGTATATAAATGATTATGGATATAGGGTCAGTATATAAATGATTATGGATATAGGTTCAGTATATAAATGATTATGGATATAGGTTCAGTATATAAATGATTATGGATATAGGTTCAGTATATAAATGATTATGGATATATGTTCAGTATATAAATGATTATGGATATAGGTTCAGTATATAAATGATTATGGATATAGGTTCAGTATATAAATGATTATGGATATAGGTTCAGTATATAAATGAGTACCTCAGCGCGGATGTTCAGAATTCTTTGTTCAGTTTTCATGTAGTTCCAGAACCTAATAAAGGCTTGATTCGGAGGCTCCGTGAAAACAAACAACTGAGCATGACCAATACGAGCATCAGCGCGATGATTGACAGCCCTTGGCATGACTCGATTGGTTAACGTGGACGGCACCGTTGTTACACCCTGGCTCTACAGGTGCAACATGAAAGACAACAGGTTACTAAAAGTTAATATAATTTATTAACAGAAACAAAAGTCTAGGAAGATAACACAAAGAAAACCAAAAAGGGGGAAGGCAGGTGTGGTGGTGAGCAGGGCTGCTGCTGCCAGGACAGAGAGAGAGAGAGATGGGTGGAGTCAGGGTGTGGTCTTATAGACTCCCAGCAGGGAACCTGATGCAGGCTGGAAATCCTGGAAGTGGATCCTTGAACTGGAACAGGTCTGCATGGCAGCTCCACATAACACCCCCATCCATAAGCAAGTTGATCTCAAATCAACATGCAAACTGAAGGCTCCAATCCTCCAATAACGCAGCGGTCCAGAGAGACACCACATCTTGGACCCAGGATGATGAGTGGACTGGTCAGAAACAGGCCATAGCAACCACAGATAAACTCAACATCTGAAGAGACCAGAGCAGATGAAGGAGCAGGATCCAGATCAGGAACAGTCACTCGGTCGGGAACAGGGGAGGCCGGCCGGTCTGCAGAGGGTTGAAGCAGGCCTCTCTCAACTAAAACAGCTCTCACCTTGTCCCTAACATGTTCCTTCAAATATTTGTTCCAACCAGTGGTGTCAAGATCATAAAATGCAGCTAAACTCAACAATTGTTCTTTGGTGAACTTCTCAAATAGCTGCACCGACGGTGACTGAACAAAATCTGACACAGAAGCCATAGTTACGGCCTCAAAATCACTGGGCAAAAAAAACAAAATCTCAAAATGTGCATTAAATGCACAACGAAGTGTCCCAAAATACACACAAAAGCAGCTGACACGAATGCTCTCTCATCACACAAGTAGGTTCACACAACTAAGCCACAAAAGTAGCAACAAATGGATCCACTCAGTCAGTACCAAACTGCTAGACTCCATAAAACCTACAAAAAGTCAAGAAACACACTAGACTTGACAAAACAAAAGCTGCACACAAGTTAGGATCAAGGACACAAACTAAGCTCACCATAACTCACCTAACTTAACACAATGCTCTCCGCACAACAAAGCTGAGTGCACAACACACAAAATGGCTCCCTGGTACCTACCAAAGCAGAACTAAAGCCTGAGTATCTTCTGAGGAGTGCCGGGCTAGAGGTGGCTTTAAAAGCAGAACATCAGTGACCAGGCTTGGCCCTGACTTGCTTACCCCTGACAGGGACGGATTCCCCACCCAGGATTTCCTCGAAAATAAAAAATACTTAGATTGAAGAATCCCTCCTTAGTCTAACCAGGGAGACCAACTAACCACTCAGCAACAAAAAGGAGAGCCTAATCTGGCACAACTAAAGCAGCCCGTCCACACAAACTTACCCCAAACTGAATCAACTGAGATGGATGAACAAAAACTTACAAGGTTCAACCAAGAGACGAGCCCCCAATATGTTACACCCTGGCTCTACAGGTGCAACATGAAAGACAACAGGTTACTAAAAGTTAATATAATTTATTAACAGAAACAAAAGTCTAGGAAGATAACACAAAGAAAACCAAAAAGGGGGAAGGCAGGTGTGGTGGTGAGCAGGGCTGCTGCTGCCAGGACAGAGAGAGAGAGATGGGTGGAGTCAGGGTGTGGTCTTATAGACTCCCAGCAGGGAACCTGATGCAGGCTGGAAATCCTGGAAGTGGATCCTGGAACTGGAACAGGTCTGCATGGCAGCTCCACATAACAACCGTGGATTCTGAGCTATAGCTAAGAGAAGGGAAGGCGGGACTTAACTGTAATATTAGAATTAATAAAATGACTTATTTTATAACAACATTTAAGGCCAGGAGGTCAATTTACTACAATTCTTAAAATGTGTAATTATTTTAGAGTTACATACTATCACTTTAATATATATGCTTTGGTACTTCCCTGATATTACACATTTCTGGACACAGATAATAAATGCAATCTCTAAATTATTAAATATTAACCTGTGCCCTTGCCCAGCGACTTGCTTACTCAGATTCAGAGCTACTCAATTGAAAAACAAACAGAACTGTAAGATAGCTATTATAGCTTTCATTGCGACTAAAAGAACAATAATGATGAATTGAAAACATAGTAAATTAAACTGTTTTGCAATAAAAAAATGGATACACAAATTTACAGATTTACTGGCCATGGAAGAAATTATCAACAACGATGATATGGATCTGGATCTTGAGCAACTCATCGCTGGGTTTGGATTTCCTTCTTTATCAAAGGTGCTAAATAAATCAAAAATATGATATTCTGTATGCTTAACGCCTGTTGATGACGTATCGTGTCTGGGCTTGAAGAAGATGACATAGTCTGGGATCGCGTCTTTCATTCAGACAGAAGACATGTTTTATTGTCGATGGTAGAGACAGCACAAACAACAGAATGCAAGTGTATTATACAGAGCGGAGGCATGGAGACCTCCAATCAGCAGCTGCCACAGTGCCATGTAGCTTGGCCTTCAGATAGACAAAACAAGGGAAAAGTACAGGCTTCTGCACATTGATAGAATGATGAGTTTAACTTTAACAAAAGTTGCTTAAAAGTGTTATGAAATCTCACAGGCTCCAGGACTGCTTGTTGACTGTACAGTATATTTCGACAATTACACAGGTATTTACGTCCTTTTGTCATGGAAAGACTGTGATGTTAACTCCCCCCCTCTCGTTTGGAGAGGTTTTGTGTCTTGTCGTGTCCTGTAGTTTGTTGTATTTTTTTTCTTTTTTTTTTCAAGGTTCTGTCTCATGTGTTTTATTTTTTTATCTATTTATTTTACTACACAAAATATTAATAGAAAGGTTAAAATATACAATAATAAATACAAAAATAATACATCAAACTTACAAGCGCTTTATTGGACATTCGATGACGCTTTACAAAATACATAAAAATAAACATTAAATAACAAAATTAAGGAAAGGAAAGCTGAAACAGGTGGGTTTTGAGAGGTGATTTTAAGTTCTGTAGAGTTTCGGATGGTTGTGGGAGTGTGGCAGCTGTGGCAAAAGGCTCTGTCCCCCAAGGTTCGGTGTTTGGTCCTGAGGTGTTTAGTGAGTAAGTTTTAGTAAGTAAGTTTTTATTTATATACCGCCTTTTCACTGCAGATCTGAGTCTCAAAGCGGTTTACAATTGTTAATTTTTGGGCGTTTGTCTCTCACTCCACACAGAGATGGGAGTGGGGTCGCCAGTACAGGAAGCGCATGCCAGAACTATTGGACATATTTTTAGTGGTAGGGGAAACCGGAGTACCCGGAGGAAACCTACGCAGACACGGGGAGAACATGCAAACTCCACTCAGAAAGGCCCTGGTCCGACCGGGATTCGAACCCAGGACCTTCTTGCTGAGAGGCGAGAGTGCTATCCACTCAGCCACCGTGCCTAGTGAGGAGGTTGGAGTCTGTGGATCTGAGGCGGCGGGTGGGACAGTGATGATGGAGGAGGTCAGTGAGGTACCAAGGAGCAGGTTATGG